GAGGAGGAGGGTCTTCTTTTAATGTTATTATTTTTTTTTAATTTCCAGCCTGTAAGTTCAAGGGTACATGTTCAGAATGTGCAAGTTTGTTACATAGGTAAACGTGTGTCGTGGTGGTTTGCTGTACAAATCATCCCATCACCTAGGTGTTAAGTCCAACATCCACTAGCTGTTCTTCCTGATGCTCTCCCTCCTCTCAATCTCTATCCTCTGGTAGGCCCCAGTGTGTATTGTTAACCCCCATGTGTCTATGTGTTCTCATCATTCAGCTTCCACTTATAAGTGAGAACATGTGGTATTTGGTTTTCTGTCTATGCATTAGTTTACTGAGGATAATAGCTTCCAGCTCCATCTATGTCCCTGCAAAGGACATGGTCTTGTTCCTTTTTATGGCTGCATAGTATTCCACGGTATATATGTACCATATTTTCTTTATTCAGTCTATCATTAATAGGCATAAATTGATTTTGTGTCTTTGCTATGGTGAATAGTACTACAATGAACATATGTGTGCATTATCTTTATAATAGAATGATTTATATTCCTTTGTGTATATACCCCATAATGGTATTGCTGAGTCAAATGGTGTTTCTGCCTGTAGGTCTTTGAGGAATCCCGATACTATCTTCCATAATGGTTGAACTACTAATTTACATTCCCAACAACAATGTCAAAGCATTCCTTTTTCTCCACATACAACCTTGCCAGCATCTGTTGTTTTTTGTCTTTTTAGTAATAGCCATTCTAACTGGTGTGAGATGGTATCTCATTGTGGTTTTGATTTGCATTTCCCTAATGATCAGTGATGTTGAGCTTTTTTTCATATTTTTGGCCACATGTATGTTTTCTTTTGAGAAGTGTCTGTCCATGTCCTTTGCACACTTTTTAGTGGGTTTTTAAAAAATTTGCTTAAGTTCCTTGTAGATGCTGGACATTAGGCCTTTGTCAGATGGATAGATTATAAAAATGTTCTCCCATTTTATAGGTTGTTTGTTCACTTTAATGATGGTTTCTTCTGCTGTGCAGCAGCTCTTTAGTCTGGGAAGGTACTTTATTAGCCTATCAATCAAGGAACTACAGGCAGGCTGTTTTGCATGGTTCACATGTGGGCTGGCTCCTAGAGTCCTTCGGCAGCCTGGCCTTGTTCCTAGATTAGCAACTGGGTGGGCCTGGATGCTTAGGATCCATAGGGTTGGATCTGGAAGCTGGGTCCACTGAGGTGGACTTCTTGATTGGGTCTGCAGGATTGGGCCTGGAGCCTGTATCCAATGGGGCTGGCCTGAAGTTTAGGTCCACATTGGCTGACCAAACTCTAAAGTGGGCCTTGAGCCTGAATCTACAAGAGCCAGCCACATGCTGGGATGGGTCTTTTGCCTGGGTCCCCTGGGATAAGCCTGGAGCCTGAGTCTATAGGGGTTGGCCTGGCACTGGGGTGGGCCTCAAGCCTGAGTCCATGAGGGCAGGCCTCAGTCCTGGGTCAATGGGTGCTAGACTGGAACCTGGGTTTGTAGGGGTGATTTTAGAGCCTCAGTCCATGGGGGCTAGCCTGGCACCCAGGTCTACTGGGGTGGTCCTAGAGCCTGGAGCTGGCCTAGTGTTGGAGCAGATGTGGAGCCTCAGGGCCATAAGGACTGGCCTGAAGCCTGGGATTGTGGGTACTAAATTGCTATTTGGATTCACACTGGCTGGCCTAGACTGTGGGGCTGTGGGGATCTGCCCTGGGGCCTGGGTATGTGGGGCCCAGCCTGGAGGATGGGGTGTGTGGGTGCTAGCCCCGAGGCTAGATCTGTGAGGTCTGACCTGGGTCCTGAAGCTGCGGGAGCTGTCCTGGAACCTGGTTGCACAGGGGAAGTCCTGAAGCCTTGATCCATGGGGGCCAGCCCATCCCTAGGGTCTATTTGAATTGGCTTGGACTCTTGGTCTGCTAGAGCAGACTTGGAGCCTGGCCCCACTAAAGTGTGGAGTGACATAAGCAGTTGTGAAGGCTGTGTTCATAGATGCCAGCCTCGTACCTAAGGCCA